TGACCTTTCTTATGACAATAGCGACACTCTAAATTATTGTATCTGGATATGGAGTCGGATTTGCCCCTAACAAACAAGCCAACTTCCGCTTGAGTTCCACTAGCTTCCCCAGTAATATCACTATCTATCTGTTCTTTTGATTTTAAGATAGATTTAATATCCTTATAAGAGATATTATCCTTTGCATAAAGCATAGTATCTCTTATATGCTTAAAAGATGGGGGGTAGAGAACAAAGCAGTAACACGGCCTGATCCTCATCTTTAATTTCAGCATCTATATTACTCAAATCCATAAGAATGGAATCAAAGGTGTCAAGATGAGAGAGAATAGAGGTACCTTCACCCATACGAATTGTATAAAGTTTCTGCTTCAGGTAAAGTCTATTTTCTACAGTTCTCTTCATATATAAGGTTTTCAATTTTTTCCACATGACTTTAGTTGTGGTTTCTACAGAAACTTCACGTAAAACCTCATTTGAGAGATTTAAAATGATACTTGCTTTTGCCTTTTTGTCTATGATGGCAAACTTCTCGTCCGTCATTTTATCTGGCTTCTTCTCCTTTTCTTGCAACGCCAAGTCTAAGCCATCCTGAATTAGGATAGCTTCCATTTTATCTGAATTAGAGTTATTTTGGCTATTGAAACTAACCCGGTTAGATCCGGCTCTGATACCAATTTGTTAGGATCGAAAACCTGGGTGGTGCAGAATTTAGCCAAATAACGGTATAATGACAATAACAAAGACAATTGAAGTTGATAACAACGGTAATTAAAGTAGATAAAGAAGACACAAATTTAACGTGGTTCGGTCAAAGTGACCTACGTCCACAAGCGGAGATGAACAATTTACTATAACAATAAGAGTACAAAAGAGAGTACAAAATTAGAGTAAACACTCTAATTAATCCTAAATACCCTAAGAGAATAACCTTACAAGATCACTCCAAAGAAAGGGTTCACACAAGTGCTTCCCAACACTAACTCTCATACAAAACACTCTTAATAAAGGAAGAAAGGAAGAAACAAGAATTGAAGACAAGTCTTGTTGGTGTGTCTAAAATGAACTAATAGCCTTCCCTTTTATAGGCCAAAAAGGTCTTGGCCTCTTAGGTGTAAAAGAAGAGATACAACTTGTGCAAATAATGTCCAACACAAAATGCAATATTTTTGAGTCCCAAAGAATATTGCCAACAAAGTCTACACTTTGCAAAGATGCTTATGCTTATGTGAGATGGACTCCATTAGCCAAAATATTAGTTATAATTACAATATCCAATAGGACCTACAGATTCATAACATATGTACATACAATGAGAAAAATGGAGAGAAAGAGTTGTAAAGATAAGAAAATATTGAGCCGAAGAAGTGGTAACTTTGCAAAATACCTGTATAAAGTTATTTTTTGAGGAATCTGAATTCACTCTCACTAGTAAGGTCTTCGGATGAAAATAACTAAATAATTCATCAATGAAAGATTCATATCTTGGTAGCCACGAGAATAGTATTTCCAAATTTATATGCTTGATACCAAGTGGTTGAATAATGCTTCTAGGATCGCCGAAATGAACTCTTACCTCCTTCATAGACATGAAAAATTATATTCAACACGAATTGTCAGCAGAGGCGGAGCTTGGATTTAAAATTTATGGGTTCAGAATTTTAAATTCTTTAAGTTATTGGGTTCTAAATTAATAATTTATACATATTCAATGAATTTCTTAAGACAAATACATGATTTGCACCAAAGCCATTGGGTTCGACCGAACCTGTAGCTCCTATTCTCCCTCCGCCCCTGATTGTCAGACTTGAAAGAAGATTGAATTGAAAATTTTAATTACTCTGAAATTGACGAATCATGAAAATATTAACTAGCAATACACTTAACAGCACACATGATTCAATAATTAACAATAAAATAAGAGATAAAGTTTAGAATGTGTAAAAATACACTATGGTAGATGTTGTCATCTTAATAGATTTCTGTCGCTACTTGCTGAAATGGAGATTGAGAGAGAGATAAATCCTAACTGACGAGGGAGAAATGAGAGAGAATAGATGAGGAGCAACGAGATGAATGCAACAGTGAAAGAAATGAATGCTCTGCCTTTGCATTACCTGAGCAACATGTATATATACACAACTCCACTAACTACTCTAATCACCTTTCTAACCAATCATATGCACTATTAACTGACTAACTAATGCACTAATCTGCTAACATATAAATAAACTAAACTACCCCTTACTCAAGTTACATCTTTTGTCTCAACACTCCCCCTCAAGCTAGGTGGTAGGAAGACATCAAGTACACCTAGCTTGGACAACAAATGCTCGTGTTGTGCTCATGGTAGACCTTTGGTTAGAATGTCTGCTAACTGCTCCTTTGTAGCTACATATTCTATCTGTACCATACCATTCTGTATCTTCTCCCTTATAAAGTGAAGGTATATTTCAATGTGTTTGGTTCATTCGTGAAACATTGAATTAGAAGCTATTTGAATTGCTGATTTACTGTCAGTGTAGATATTCACAGGGAGGCCAACTTCTATACCAATGTCTTTGAACAGACCAAGTATCCACACCAATGCAGCTACAGTTGATGCAATACTTCTGTACTCAGATTCTGCAGAACTCCTAGAAATGGTACTTTGTTTCTTTGACTTCCAGGATATCAGAGAATCACCATATCTGATGAAGAATCATGTTACTGACTTCCTAGTGATAGGGCAGGCTGCCCAGTCTACATCACAATATGTATGCCTTGACCTGGTTGATTCTTCGCATATCTAACCACCCTTTGAGCAACTTCCAAATGAGATCTTTTTGGTTTCTGCATAAACTGGCTTAGTGTCTGAATACTATATACTATGTCTGGCCTTGTGACAGTCAGGTAGAGTAGTTTTTCTAGTAATATTTGATACTGGCTGATGTCTGTTAACACTTTATCATCAGTTGCACTAGAGTTACTAGTATGTTCATCATATTCCTTAGTGGTCAATTTGATATTGGCTTTAATAGGTGTTACTGCAGGTTTTGCAGCTCCTAGTCCAAGCTCAGAAATCAGCTCTAGAGTGTACTTCCTTTGGTGCATCAGAATGCCTTTCTGTGACCTGGCAAACTCAATGCCAAGAAAGTATTAAGCTCCCCTAGATCTTTCATTTTGAATTTCAGCTGCAGCTTGGTCTTCATCTCAGCTATTAGTGTCAGATTAGGCCCAGTGATTAGCATATCATCAACATATACTAAGATGATTATGATATGTTCCCCTGACCCTTTGATGAACAGTGAGTGATCATATTGGCTTTGCATGAAGCCAAGTCCCAGAACTGCCCCAGACAGCTTAGCATTCCACTGTCTGGGTGCTTGTTTGAGCCCATGCAAGGATTTCAAGAGTCTACATACTGGTCTTGTCTCCCCCTGGCTCTGAAAGCCCTGAGATAAGGTCATATATATCTCATCATAGAGATCTCCCTGAAGAAAAGCATTGTACACATCCATTTGGTGAATGTGCCACTGCTCAGAGGCAGCCACAGCTAGAATGGTTCTAACAGTAACCATCTTAACAACTAGGCTAAATGTCTCTTGGTAGCCAATACCCTCATGTTGACAGTACCCTTTAGCCACAAGCCTGGCTTTGAACCTCTCCATCTCTCATGTAGCTTTATACTTCACCTTATAGATCTACTTACAACCAATAGACACCTTGCCTTCAGGTAAGGACACCACATCCCAGGTGTGATTGGATTTTAGTGCAGCAATTTCAGCTTGCATAGCTTCGACCCACCTAGAATCTTGAGTAGCTTGCTCAAAAGAAGTAGGTTCCTGTATTGCAGAGAATGCAGTCTAATATACCTGATATTTGGGAGAAATTCTATCATAGGACACATAGTTAGCAATGGAATAGGGAACAGATTTGTGTCCAGATTATGACACAAAGTCCTTCATCCAAATAGGAGCCTTCCTCGTCCTCAAAGATCTTCTCAGACCAGTGGAGAGTTGAGAGGGCATAGAAGGAGGAATAGAAGGCATCACATTTGGTGCAGATTGGTGTAAGGAAGAAGAGTCAGTAGACTCATGCCTAGCAGGAACAGGAGGAAGAGAAGGCTGCTCTTCACTAGAACTGGCAATTCAGGAGGCAAGAAAATAGGTGGTGATGTATCTGTGATGTCTTTGAAGGAAAATATATCTTCCCTAAAGGATACATCCCTGTTGATAAAAACAATAATGAGAAGTAAGATCCAGTAGAATGTAGGCCTTCTGAGTGTCAGAGAAACCCATGAGAACACCTGGCTTAGCTCTGGGCAGGAGTTTGTTTGTATCATGAACTTGCTTCGCATAGCACAAACATCCAAGATTCTTAAGTGGCCCAGATTAGGTGCTCTACCATACAATAGTTCAAAAGGAAAAAGGCCATGAAGAACAGAAGATGGCATCCTGTTTATGAGGTACACTGCTGCAAGCACACAATGCTCCCAATACTTGATAGGAATATGGGCCTGAAACCTTAAAGCTCGTGTGACTTCTAGGGTGTGCCTGTGCTTTTTCTCAGCAACTCCATTTTGCTGAGGAGTATAGGCACATGTTCTTTGATGAATGATACCATACTTCTGAAACAATGAGGTACATGTAGAGTTGACAAACTCAGAGCCATTGTCTGACCTGATTGCCTTTACAACTTTGTTAAACTGAGTTTGAATGAGCACAATAAGCTGAGTAAGTACCACACATACATCAGATTTGAGTTTCAGTAAAAAAAACCAAGTCATCCTGGTAAAGTCGTCAACAACAGTCAGAAAATATCTATTGCCATCAAAAGTTGCACAGTTATATGGACCCCAAACATCAAGATGTATTAGATCAAATGCAACAACAGTCTTAATACAGCTAGAAGGAAATGACAGCCTGGTTTTCCTAGCACAAGGACATACACTGTACTTATTGATAGTGTCATTGATACTAGCTAGTTTGGCAGCAAACAATTTTCTAAGAACAATACTAGATACATGCCCTAGTCTTTTATGCCACAAGGCAACATCAATTGTAGTGTCACCTTGCCTTGACTTTATTCTAGCAGCAGCTAATGATACTTCAGTGAGCATCTTTCCACCATATTTCTACAGAAAGTATAGACCATCTCTTTCTCTATCAATCTCCCTCACCCTGCCACTGAAGAGATCCTGAAAGACACAGAAATCAGGATAAAAGGAAGCAAAGCATTTAAGGTCTCTTGTCACTTTGGAGACTGATAATAAGTTGAACTTGAACAGGTACATAGAATACATCTTTAAGTGTGCTTCTGTCTGAAATATTGCTATCACCAGTGTGAGTCACTGGTGTGACATCTCCATTAGGTAACAAGACTGTCCTAGGCTTAGAAGGAGTAACTATAGAGGTCTTAGTAAGTAAGTTAGCATCTGACACCATATGATTAGTTGCTCCAGTATCAATAATCCATTCTTGTGGACTAGTAGATGCTAAGAGAGCAGTGCTAGTACCTGCCACATTTGCTTGAGCAGAGGAAGTTGAAGTTGAGTTGTTCAGAATGTGCATTATCTGATCATACTGGTCTTATAGTGAAAGGGAACACACTTCCTTGAGTCTGTGGAGAGGAATTTGTGTAAGGTCTCTGTGCCAGTGTAGAGGAGGATACTGCTAGAGCTTGAGTGCCAGAATGACCCTGTGCCTGATTCACAGCTTGAGAAAATTCAACTCCTTGATTCATGATTTGTTGAGGCTTTTGATATGCAGGCAAATGAGGCATTGAAGTTTGCTGAAAAGCCTGGTGTGAGACATGATTGGAGTACATAGGCATAGTGTATCCAGGTTCGACCATTGCATTATAAGCACCAGCTCCCCCTTTCTTTTTGAATTTATGATCTGATGGATAACCTATTATTTTGTAGCAGTTTTCTTTACTGTGACCTTTCATTTTGCAAAACTCACACTGAATATTGTAATTCTTCCTAAATTTTGGATTGAAACTAGGTTTAGCACTATATAGTGCAGTTGAATCATAAGAATGTGTGGCATTTACAGTAGGTGAGGATCCTAAAATACCAGCAGAAACAGCTATATCCTTTTGGCTTTCATCATTCATAAGCATGACATATGCTTGATTCACTGAAGGAAGTGGCTTCATCATAAGTATTTGACTACGAGCTTGAGAGTAAGAATCATTCAAGCCCATTAGAAATTGATACACTTTTTGCTTTCGAAGATGCACAATAAACTCCTTAGTCTTGACACAATCACAGTCAGGAGTGGGTATAACAGACTCAGATTCATCCCAAAAGTCCTTGAGCTTTGAATAATAGATAAAAATAGAGGAAGTACCTTGACTTAGGGTGGCAATGTTTTGTGCAAATTGTAGCGACGAGTATCATTCACTTTGTCAAACCTCTCTTGTAAATCCGTCCACACCTTCTGTGCATTAGTGGCATAAGCAATACCACTGATTAGGATTGGTGCAACTGAGTTCATTAGCCATGACAACACAATTGCATTGCATCGTTTCCATTGATACCAATACTTCTCACGAAACCGCTCTTTTGGCCACCTACCATCAACAATACCTAGTTTATTACGGCCAAGTAATGCAATCCGCATAGATCGATACCGTAAGGAGTAATTATCAGTGCCAGTTAGTTGGAACGAAATCAAAGAGATTCCACTTGTGTCGCCCAGAGCTAGGTATAGTGGATGAGTGACTGCAACTGTAACACCTTCCTCAAATTCATCATCGGAGGATGCATGTGATGCATTTTCAGTAGTGACAGTTGCATTTTCGTGATCCAAATCATCAATTGTCATTGTTGAATAATTTTGGGCCTCAAATCAGAAAAGTGAGATCTCAATTGTTTGAGACTGCAGAGAAGGAAAAACAGAGTAGAGAAGAGAGTAATAGAGTAGGAGAGATAGCAGAGGATCGATTTGTGAGTTTCGACTCAGTGCTCGAGCTCTGATACCATGCTGAAATAGAGATTGAGAGAGAGAGAGATAAACCCTAACTGATGAGGGAAAAAAGATAGACAAGAGAGGAGGAGCAACGAGATGAATGGAACAGTGAAAGAAATGAATGCTCTACCTTTGCATTACCTGAGCAACATGTATATATATATATACAACTCCACTAACTACTCTAACAACCTTTCTAACCAATCATATGCACTATTAACGGACTAACTAATGTACTAATCTGCTAACACATAAATAGACTAAACTACCCCTTACTCAAGTTACATCTTTTGTCTCAACACTACTCTTGTGCAAATAGTCAAGTCAGATCACACCCAAACAAAATGGAAACTCAACTCATGATTAGCTATCAAGGATCATTTAACCAAGCACGTACCTTTGATTCTGTTGTGTTAGTTACCAAGGACAAGGTCATTTTCTCACCCAAATTTTCTGCAAAAGTTCTCAAGTCAGGCAATCTATTGGTTGCATAAACATACTTCAACCCAATCTCAGCTTCCGTTAGCCTTGAACCAACCACTGGAGACGAGCTTGGAACTTTTTTTGTATTTAGTAGCTTGAGTGAATGTAAACTGGGAGTAACAATGATAACATCTTGCAAGTCAATCATGTCACTTAAGGTCAAATTCTCCAATTCAGGACTCAAAAGTTTTATTTTGTTCAATCTTCTACATAAATGAAGAAACAAGGATTTAAGAATCGGAAAAGCCGAGAAAATCTCTTCACGAAATCCAATTGGAATATATTCACAATCTATTTTTAGGACTTGTAGTTTAGTACATGCGCGCAAATCAAGTTTTAGTGCTGGTGAATCTGAACTAATCAAGTGAAATTCCTGCAGATTTCGAGCTTTTATTTCTATTGCCTCAATTTTGTGGTCGCTCACATGAACCTTTTTTAATGAATTCAGATGAGGCACTGAGATGGAACGACGGTGGAAACAATCTATCAATGTTAACTCAACAACTGAAGGACACTTGTTGATAAGCTTGGAGAAAATTGTGTTAAAGACCTCATAAGTTGGGGATAATAAAGAGACGTCACCAAAATAGATCTCTTTCAATGAAGGCAACTCGTTAATATCATCAAAGTTTTCCTTAATATAGCAATGTTTTA